CTCTCTCTCTCTCTCTCTCTCTCTCTCTCTCTCTCTCTCTCTCTCTCATTGCATGTAGAGGTCAGAGGATAATCTTCAGTAGGAGTGATCACCTTCCACCTGTTTTTCATACAGGATCTTTCTTGTTCATGGCTATGAACCCCCGTTGGCCTGCTAGATTCTGGGTCTTCTCCTCTGTTTCTCATGTCCCCTAGTGGGCACTAGGACTCCAGATGCTTGTGGGTACTGGGTCTGTCTTTTACCTGGGCTCAGGGGGATCTGAACTCAGGTTACCAGACTTTCATGGAAAGTGTTCTTACCCACAGAACCATCTCCTCAGTCCTCAATTTTATTATTAGACTTATTCAGCTCTTTGTTTCTATGGTTTCTGTCCATTTTTTTTTCTTTACAAAATGTCCATTTTTATTTATTTATTTATTTATTTATTTGCTGAATTCCTCATTCATATCTTCTGTTGTCTTCCCAACTTACACAAGTTTATCTATATTCTCTTTGATCTTATTGAAATGTTTTATTTAACAATTCTTTTAGAAAACATTATTTTTCTCTGTGTGTGTACATATATCTACACAGGTGTCATGGCTTGCATTTAAAGCCAGTTCTCTTCTTCTACCATGGTTGCAGACATTAAACTCAGGTCATTATGTTTGTGTGGCAAGAATTTCCATTTTCAGGCTCTTTCTAAAATTCTTTTTTGTTTGTTCCTTGTGTGGCCCTAGATGTCCTGGAACTTGCTCTGTAGACCAGGCTGGCCTCAAACTCATTCATACATTGTCTCCCAAGTATTGGGATTAAAGGCATGTACCACTACTGCCCGGCTGACAGTTTTAACCTTTAAGACTTCATGTTAGCTTATTTTACACACTTACTTTTGCCTATATGCAATTTTTTTTATATTTGGGAGATCAGAGGCCTCTACCAATTTTATTGGTTGTCTTCTTAGTTTTCGGGCTTTCCACAGATGTACCTTAGCGGATCACCTTCTTGGGCAACATTGGCTTTCATTCTCAATAGACTTTATGTGCTCTTTGGCTGTGTATGAATGGTGGTTTCACAGTGTTAGCTCTGGGGGAGCATAGAAGAGGACCATCACCTCTGTGTGCTTTACAAGAGAGGGAACACTTGTGCTGCAGACAGACATGTTCTGGACAATGTATGTGGTGCACAGTATAGTCATCCTGAAGCGCTTGTCGTTCTGGTAGTCACTTGTGTTAGGATAGCAGGAGTCAACACCACTCTGTGGCACTCATTCCTAGTTCTGCAACAAGTGTATCCAAAGCAGGACTCGGGAGGGAGTGACAGAAGCTACACAGACAGGTGGTAGCCATAGCCATATTTCTTTTTGTACTTTGTTGGCAATGGCCTCCTAGAAGTGGGACCACGGTCAGAACCATACAAAGACATCCTATTGAACTTCTTTGGACGTGTAAGATTCCATATGCTTCTGAAATAGTTCCATTCATTGGTGAGTAATTGATCAAACACAAGAACCCGTGGATGCCACTTGTCACTCAAAGCATAATACCTAATCAGGGAGTTAGGATCCTGTCCACTGTAGCTTCTACTAGCTGAGCTCTGAAGCCAGTCACTAGAAAGAATCTTCTAGCATGAGGCAAAGGACATACTGACAGATCCAATCTCTTCACAAGGCTTATAAATGTTTTACTTAAATGTTCACATTCCTACCTGATGCTCACCATAGCTATGATGGGCAGTGCAGTGTGTTGACCATCCAAAGTTCAGACACTATCAGGTTAAATCCAAAGCCAGGTGTTGTCATCAGCATTAGACTTCATAAAGCTCCAATCAAGAGACCTCTGTGGGACTGAAAAGCTGTCTCAGTGGTGTCTCATTTACTGTCCGTGCAGAGTGGGATTCTGTTCCCAACACCAAATGGCATCTCATAGACTTCTGTAACTTCAGTACTAGGGGATGATGTTGTAGAAAAAACTCTGTCTCAAATGGTTACCAAGAGATGGGTTAAGGCAACACATTAACTCAAATTTCTCCCATGCAAAGGATCAAAGAAAGGATCAGGGAACTTGCCTATGAATCCTCAATCCTGTGAATTTACCTTCATCCAGGGGTGGGGTGGGGGAAGCAGCAAGGTGCTTGTCTGTCACTATTATTTTCCCCAATACCTAAGCAGAATCCTTATTTCAGCTCAAATTAAGAATTGGTTAGAGAGCAAAATGTCAAATTGAACAGATTAAGCATCCTTGAAGTAGCAGAAAGAACTGCAGAGAACATTCATCACTTGAATGTGTTAGGAAAAGTGGCTCCTTTGGATGGAAAGACTGCTGTGGACAACCAGAGAAACCTGTGAGAAATTACCGGCTAAGAGGGGTATTTAGACAGGTGGCCTCAAGTGTACTCAACAAGGACCTTTGTTCTGAAGCACAGAGTTCTAACTGGAATCATATAAATTCTAGTTAGTTCTTCTCTAAGTATCCTTTGTGTTCATTTTCTCCAGGAGGGAAGAAGTGAGGGGTGTGAGCAGGGAGTAGTGACACTCCCCCACCCCCAGCCAGATGTATGGTAGAAGTCAGGAAGCCAATGTTTCATGAACAGGATTGGCCTTCATCCTAATTCTGGAGAGAAAGAAATGCTCCTAAAGCCGTTTTTGATAGAAAACTCACCACCAGATGGCTTTTAAACCAACACCACCAACTAAATTTCTCAGGGACATGAAGGGTAGGCCATCTTATTGAATCAATCCATTTCTCATGCATGGTGGTTCTTAGGCAGGAGTTAAAGCTAAAGTAGAATTATCCAATGTGAGAAGTGTTGTATTTTAAAGCAACTCATGGCCCAGGGAAGCAGCAATTTATATAAGGGCAGCTGTGTGCAGGTTTGTTCTTGGCATTTCTAAGGTGGCCAATGAAGCATGGTGAATGCTGTTTTATGTCATTTCCAGTTGTCTATCCAATCAAAGCTCAACAGCAGGCCTGCCTCTACCTCTCTAGTGTGCCAACATCCCCTGCCTCTGAAGGTTGGTGAGATGACCGTGGAGAGGGAGCCGTGGAGAGGGAGCAAGCAGGAAAAGCATTGGAGGGTTGTCATTTTTGACTGCTGACCCTGAGAAGGTAGAGTTTGTAGATGTTCAGGCAGATGATGGATCATGAAAACTAAGTGTCCTGAGGATTCAAGCCATGGCTTCTAAAACAGAGATGGGCTGCCATTCATGGCAGTGCTGGCAGTCCCAGACACATGTCACTGAGCTCATTACAAGGTGCCTAGTCGAAGGTTGTGTCACTGGAATCAAATTTGGCACAATAGAAAAAGTATGGCCAATAGAAAAAAGTATGGAAGAAGGAACCCTATTATATACATGATACACTTGGGAGGTAGAGGTAGGTTGATCTGAGGCCAGCCTGGTCTGGAGTACCAGGACAGCCAAGGCCACACAATGAAAGCTTAAAACTACAGATTCACTGCGCCTGGCGTATTTCTGAGTTAGAGGCCAGCCTGGTCTACAGAGTGAGTTCCAGGACATCCAAGGGCTATACACAGAAACTGTCTCCAAAAACAAAAACAAAACAAAAGAAACAAAGCAGGGCTTAAGGCAGAGGATAGGCACCATCCAACACTCAGAGCTAACACGATAGCCCAGGATCAGCAGCTGTGACCTTTCTCTTCCTGGTTAAGTACACAGGAAGTAGGCTGAAGGCAAGCAGGATGGGGTGATGAGTAGATCTGAACTTAGTTTTAGTTTACCATGTTGAAGAACTATGTAAAAAGTATCTTGTAAAACAAAGCCACTCCTTGCCATTTTACCTCATTTATGGAATGACAACTTCTACAACAGGAATACTTGAGTGCATTAAATAAATATAAATTTTATTAAAAACACTCACATGGTGTTATCAGGAATGATATAATAAACAGCTTTAAAATAAACTGCATCCATAACATTACAATACTTACAGTATTTATAACCACCCTCAGATTGTATAAACAAAGCCAACATCTCATGAAGGAAACTACATTTTAAAAAATAAAGCATAGAAAAAAAATGCACACAGAAGTTCATCTTAGTGTCAAACTGCAAAAAAGTTTCCTAACAAGTTAAGCATACTATCTTGTAAAGTGAACTATACATCACTGTGCGTCACTCAAGATGAAAAATTCATTCAAGTAATGTTGACACCAAGCAGAAGCACTTTCAAGTAAGGCTATGTTCAAGCTGTTCCTACAGTTGCAAATCAAAGACCTGCCTTCCACTTGATCCCACAGAGGTGGGATGATGTCACTGCCTTTCTTCCTACATGACCCATCCTCTCAAAACCACACTTACTGCTCCTTTTGTTGGACAGCAGTTTGACAGATGACAGTGGGTACTATGTAAAGCAAACAATCCCTAGGGATGGCTGGCTCAAAATTGTCAAACACACCTGCAGGAACCTGATGTGGACTAAATATCATGGTGTGGAAACCATTAACCTTGTGGGTTTGTGTGCAAGGCAGACATTCTAAAAGTTTTTAGTGACAAACGTGACCGATAAATGACAAAGGTCTCCATTGACACAAAGCTATTTGAAAAGCTACTAAGCAACACTGTACTTAGGCCACAATGTAACAAGAGTCCTATTGCACAGAACACCACCAGCTCCTAGGACTGCTGAGCTGCAGTCCGAAGCTGTCTTCATCACTAGATCAGAAGCCATGACTGGTGATTTGGTGAGAGCCACAGGGATGATCTTTACCTCTCAGTTTTCCTTTTACCAGCTAAGTGCTTCCTATTTTAGACTTTTTACTTTGCTGGACTCCAACTCTCCAAAATTTACAATCGAAAGTTGACAAATTTATAAAATTAGTTTTAGTTATCGGTACATGTACAAGCAAAATAGGAGGGATTCAAAATAAAAATCCCTGAAAGAGAATATATTAACTGACAGCTTTACATAAACAGGTGACACGTTGGCAGGAAGGAGAACGAGCTGAAATATCCCTGAATTTTTAGAACAAAAAGTTTGAGATTCAAGTTATACTTGCTAAGAAATCAAGTATTTAAAAATGGTATGTCTTAATAATACAAAGATTTAAAAAAAAATGGTGGTATACAATGTTCTAAGCTTCCACTCTTAGCTCAGTATCCCATTGCCAAGCTAGTGTTGAGGTATTACGACAAGTAAGGACACCACTCCAACTTTGAATGGATTTTTAAGCTCACATTAAGATCTATGTGGAGCAATCTGGGTAGCACCATCATGATGTTAATTTTGCTTCATCTCATATATTATATATGTATATATATAATATATATATTTATGTACACATATATATATACTTAATTTTTTACAGTACTAAAATACTAAAGCATTGCATTAAAAAAGGCTTTGTTTTACAATTTAATTTACTATACAACTCTTTCACCTTTTAATACGAATTAACATTTAAAACCACAGCAAACCAGCTGCCTATTTTCTTTAGGTTTTTGTTTGTTGTTTTGTAGCCAGTAGAGTCATATGAACTTAACCATGTCTTCATCTTATGCAGATTTCAGTCCACTCAATCTTCCTGGTATGTATCACACTTAGCTAAGAAACCACAAAGGCAGTCTGCTGTCCTTCAGGACATACAGATCTGTGGGACAGCTTGGGACAAGCTCTGTCTGTAGCATGAGGCTAATTATCACCTGCAGTTAGTTAACAGAAGTTCTTCAGCTGTATACCTAGGAGCTATGAGCTTGCCCTACCATAGTATAGCATGGAAGATGAGCACCAGAATTCGAGTTTTGTGGACTAGCATATCCATTCAGCTTCCGTTTGGACTGCAATAGGCCTGTCAACAATGATACTGCTTATCTAAGAGCAAAGCAAAGTTTTCGAAGCTTTCCTTTAAAAAAAAACATTTTTAATCCTAAATAAAAGTAAACATGTTTGTTTGTTTTTTAAAGTTTCAGTACCTTAGCATTGCTCAAGTTGCCAAAGCTTAGGTAGGCAAAGTGCTTCTCTAAGACACAACTTCAAATATTTCAATACACACGTGTGTGTGTATGTATACATTATTTATAGTCCTACAAGGACATCAATGAATAGCTACAACCCAGAGGCCTTTAAAATGTCCACATCTTAAAAACTAAGCCAAATAACAAAAAGATAGAAGTGTAAATCTAAGGTAGCTTAGTTCCTCAAGAACCCTAGACTACACTGGTTGTATGATAAAAGGCATTGATTTTTCAGCTATTAAAAACACCATTTTTATAGCACCATTTAATGTTAACACCCAAACAAATTCAGTGTTTTGCCATTATTCACTTAAGCTTTCTGTAGCTACTTTGATAAATAAGTTAAGATTACAGTAAAAACTGCATGTTAAAAAGTCATAATTCCAGTATTTCAGTACAACATACATCAGCACCAGATGATTCCTGCAACCGTTCTGCTACAGTACTGTGTCCCATGACTACACACACTTGGTACTAGAAGCAGTCACATGTAGAGTGGTGAGGAGCATGTCACATGCATGACCTCAGCCAATAAGAGAACCAGTGGTTTTGAAAACAAAAGTAGAATGCTTTCTTCCCACTGTCCCTTTGCATAGGATGCTTTATTCTTCCTGAATGCCACCAGTGACCACAAGAGAAGTTGGTAGAGAATAAGTATATAATGGTAAAATAAACTATTTTGCTGGTGAGCTGACAACCCCCAACACAAACACACACTGCATTTGTCACAGATGCTGTGACCTGTCCCTACTGCCCATGCCATAAAAGACATACTACTGACAGGTTGTCCTTGGTGGTCTGGCATAATGAACAGCATCATACAAATGTGTTGTAAGGCCCTGTAACCTGAGTGAAAGCGTATGGTGATGTAGTCACGGTGGAGTCTGTGGTCTTAGACCCTGTGTTCTCAGCAAGAGACTTAATGAAGCTCAGGTAACTGGGTTCCTGTTGACTCGTGGGCTTTCGCTTTACCTGTTTACCATGCTTTCCTTTTTTCTGAGACACATGGTCACACTTTTCACACTCTTCCTCTTTTTTCTGGGCCTCCTTTTCAGCCTTAGCTTTAGCTTTAAAGAAAGCATAGTTATGGTTTGGCCGATTCAAATTCTTATGCTGGTAAAATACAAGTGAGATCCTGGCGGGTCTCTTCCGATTGGGGTAGTTTAAATTGGTTGTGGCATGAAGCTCACACCTTGCACACTCAATGAGAATTGACCCATGAGTTGGAGCTATCGCCACCCCTCCAATGAAAGGATCCCGAAAGTTGTGCTCGCTATCTGACCACTCCTCAGTGTCGTTCTCAGGAGCCACATCCTGGCCCGATACCCCAGTTCTATCATGATTAAACTCCAGAAGCACTTTTGATGGCCCGTTAGCTGGGTGGGAGGCCATGTCATTCTCCTTGTTGTGGAAGGTATGACTGGAACTGCTTGCTAAGCCCGAAGCTGCTTCAGGGTAGCTGTGGGTCGCATGAGAAGGCAGCTGATGCTGGCTGGTTTTGTAGTCTGTGTTTGGGTGGCTGTATGGTGATCTGGAGGCAACCACCATGAAATGGCCATCCATCTTGGGGGTGGGGTAAGGAGAAAATGTTGCTGGGTGGTGTACATTTGGTTTTAGGGTACAGTTAGTGAAGGCATCTCTCTGCATATTTTGGTTTCCATAACTTAAGTACTTAGAGGGACTGTCTCCAAACCTCGGTTGGTAAAGTGTGTGGATGGGTGGTAAGTTCACATTGTTGAGATGGTCCTGGTTTTGATATCTATGCAGACCTCTGGACTGAGAGTGGGGGGAATAGGAACCAAAGAAAGGGGAACCATTGTCCGCCGACACACTCCCATTGCACTGAAAAGCTGCATTATTCTGATTGAGAAACCCAGGGTAGGGGTTCATGGAATTTGAAGGACTCAAATATGAACCTGCGGCATGAGATGAAGTGTGGTAAAAGTTCACGTGGTTGGCATCTCCATAAATCTCTGGCGTATGTGAGGAGCTGGGATAAGGACTAAGTGGAGTAGCCTGTCTCATGTATACACTGTTGGGCCCAGAAGAATGAGAGCCAATGGATTGAGAATAGATGGGCAAGGCGTGCTGTGGCTGCCCTTGCTGAAGGTGCCTCTGGAGTGATGGTAACTGCGGAGTGACATATCCCAACAGCTGCAATTGTCCTAGGAGAGAGAGCAGGTACAAATACATTTTAAGATGTCTAATAGAGACACTTAAATATAAGCAATAGCATAGACAGGCCCCACCCCCAAGCAAACACAAAGGAAAGCCAGGGTTCTGAGCATTGTCAACCATAATTTTCTGTCTGAAGCTGTAGAATTAACATGCTGAACTTGTAATGGTGCGTGTGTTGCCCCACAGCCATTCAACATGCCTCTACCCACTCTGCATATCTACACCACTCTACCTCTGCTTAGTTCATGACCTCATCTTCAATGCCAACCTAGTTTGATAATGCAGAGAAAGTACTATAATGGTGCTCCCTCCATCCCTACTGTTCCTGAAGGAAGAAGGGGAGTTTTATTTTACTTCTCAATTGCCCGGCACATGGCAGGAGTTGTCAGTAATGGCATTTATCTATATCTAAAAAGGGCAATCCTACTTCATGAGGGCGTTTCCCAGGAAGGAAATGGACATGATTCAGAGAGCTCCTTGTAGAAATGTTTCCCTTGCGAGCTATGAACTGTTCAATGGACCTGCAGTAGCAGTTTTGAGAAATGAACAGCTTTGTCACAGAAATCACCAAGAGGATTTTCACCTGAGTAAAGAGAACTGGTAAGCAAACTGGTAGTCTAAATTTACAGATCAAGCCAGTATACTTTCTAAACAGTGGATTTCTTTTTAGTAGCTCTAATTATAGACATACAGCAAGGTGTATGTCTAATTATAGACATACATATAGGTGTATGTCTATAATCATGATTAAGGCAGACAGAAGTTCTTTTGACGAGTGTGGAACATTACTTAAACTTGTCTATGAAAAAATACTCAATTCACCCTTTATCCTGAAAATTTGTTTGAAGTTATTTCAGTATAGCACTGTTTTAATTACCCAGGCTTAGAGACTTGTCTTAAGTTTTCTCTATTCAGTGTCGTGCTTGCATTGAGAGGGTTTTTCAGTTTCTTACAATCCCCCTACTGGTCAACTGTGTCTGTGTCAAGTGTTCCCTCAAACTTGGTGAAATGTTCCTGCATGATTCACATTACATATAAATTACCTGTATAAAAAAAGGCTTGTTATTTGTTACACACAGAATAGCCCCAATATCTCTACTCTGAGATGGATGGTTCAGCAACTGTGACAACTCCAGTATATGCTGAACATGAGCATTTGAGGGAGGATTGTGGTAGATGAGTCAGATCATGATTGCTAATACTTCCCAAGGTGTCACCCAGCAAGCACAATTGTCCTCAAGCATCATAGTTACCTGTCATCTGTTTCATATGGCTTGCATTTTCCATCTGCTTTGTACATGAGGAAGACTCATTCTCATTTGAGCACTTCTTCAGAGAAGAACACTTTCTAGCTGCTTTCTTGGCCTTCTGTCTTCTTTCTTTCTTCTGTCGGCCATGGCAACTAGTAGCCAGCTTTGTTAATCTTCTCCTCCGAAACGAGTGCAGAACCTGAATGGACCCCTTCCGCATCTTCTCCTCCTGACCTTCTGTACTCCCAAACTCATCCTCGGGAGCGATGGTATACAATGGCAGTACATGGAGCTGCTCATCCTCAGGTTGTCCTCCGATGTCTTTTCGATTGTCTTCTCTATTGAGGGAAACCACCTGAAGTAGATATGAGATGTTCCAGGCTCAGCTGCAGGTCCAGAAAGTGTACATGCTAGGGTTTCTCCTTACCAGTATCCACATGTGTGTTGGATGAGGGACATGCATATTATCAAAACCTGATTTGCCTGTTATAACTGAAGACAATGTACAAATGGAGGACATAGAGAAAAGACCATCTCCCTTAAGTTTTCAATGACAGAACTAGCTTTTTCATGAACTTCTAGGGCTCAGGAAAGCAGCCATACTTCTTCCCAATGAAATGAAGCACTTTCCTGCTTTCCATAACACACAGCAGATGTATTTCTTTCAAAAGATACAGCACTCTTCTCCATGTGAACAGCACATGCAATGGGATGGGGAAGATGACAACAGGACACAGTTCTGTCTGTCCCTCAGACCTGACTCCTAACTCTTCATGTTTAAAAAAATTACTATGCTCAAAAAACTTTACAAGATTCCAGATGAATGTGTCGCATACATGTCTTCACACATCCTCTTTTGCTTAAAGTGACTTTCTTATGTTAACTATAATCATATTAATTGATGATTGGTAAGTGGAGAAAATAAGACCTAAAGGACAGACATGAGTGGGAGATATCCCTGAAAGGATAGGTTGAGCACTTTCTAAATGACTAATGTGAAGAACATCCAAATTCTTGAGTGGTTGTCAACACTTCTGCTAATACTGTGAAGCTTGGTTATGAGAGGGCTAGTGGTACCCAGGAAGGTTACTGGAACATACTTCATCCATGAAAACAAATGGCCTGGTGAGCCCTGCTGACCACACATGTGTTCTGTGCCAAGCACCATACAGCTTGTGCCTTTTTCACTGGCAGCCAGATGCTGCTAGGATCATGGGGTGCCACTTACCACCGTGCAGCCATTTAACATGTTCTGCTGGTCTTTGTGGGCATGAGCAGAGAAGTCCAAACATGCAGTGACCCCTGAGAATGGTCGGCCTTCCTTCAGACCCAAACGGCAGTCTTTAGCTATGTGTTCAAATTTAACCTGAGAGACAGATGTGTGTCAAGGGGAAAGTGCTTTAGAATGAGACTATTTTGCACTTTATATCTAGATAGAACATAATGGGATGACCAAAAATAGAGCAATTGCTGAGGAACACTGTTTTGTGTGATGCCAGAGATCAAGCCTAAGGCTTCACCACATGAAGTGAGGGTAAGAAATCTACCACTGCCAGGTCCCACATTTCCCCCTTCCCTTTCCTCCCTCCAAACCCTCTCATATAACCCTCCCTGCTCTTTGAAATTCATGCCCCCCGTACCTACTTGCTAGTGAAATACATACATATGTGCCTACACAATTGTTATTGTAGCCTATATTCCTAAATATAACCTGCCCATGAACATATGTAGCATTTATGAAAGGTAGTCTTACTTTGATCTATGTGCACACCCATGTAACCACTGCTATAAACAAATCAGGTCTAAATACCCAGTGTTTTCCTTCCTGCTTTGGTCAGACCCAAAAATCTACTTTTTAAATAAAAATCTAATCACTTCATCCTGCCTCACCTTTTACCTATACTGAAAGTAACATTAATGAGTCCCTGTAGGCTGATAGACATTATTTTGTACCAGATATTCTCAAACACCCTTTTTTTCTGTGTACATACTGCTATCAAAGCTTTTATTATGTGACAGTTTTTTTACACTTTGTTTCAAAACACATAGAAGTCACAGTGATCTCTTGATGCTTGTGGTTGTAAACAGGATTTTGCTCAGGTCCGCAGGGTGATTGTCCTGGGGTCAATCTTGAGACTGACCTCATAGTTAACAGCCATGATCTTACAAAATCAGCAATATAGGCTTTTGTTTTTCATTCTGTTTTTTTGTTGTTTTGTTTTTTGTTGTTTCTTTCTTCATGAAGACAAAGTCTAACAATAACTCAGCATGTGTAATAAATGCAACACACAGTCTAGATAGCCCTTGTATAATCAGGGTTACATAGATATAAATTAGTAGATAAAGCATCATTAAGAGTTAATTTTTTAAGGCTGAAAAAGTATGCATTTTTAACAGCAAAATTCATACACTAGAAGCAATTCAAGTAGTTTTAAGGAAGCAAAGAATAGGAGTGAGGCTGGAGAGTGCTAAGCTAACAGCATTTGGCTCTTGCAGAGACACTAAGCCACATCCTGGTTTACAACCACCTATAATTCTAGGTCCAGGGGACCCAAGGCCCTTGCCATGCGGTCCATTTACATGAATGCAGGGAAGCCCTCGTATGCATGAAAAGAAGTGATATTTAAAAAAAAGACTTAAAAGTCACTTCTTCAAAAATAGTTTTGGGGTTGGGAGCTGGAGGTGCACACCTTAAACTCCAGAATTTGGGAGCCAGAGGCCAGCCCATCCAGGACAGCCAAGGCTACTCAGAGAAACCCTATCTTGAAAAACAAAGTTTTAGACTGGACAGGTCACCAGTAATGGGGTTTGACTCGCAAACAATAAAGATAAACTTACCTGATTACTGTATGCTTCAGGCGCAAGCATCTTGTATATTGGAGCAACATCTGTAGCCAGTATTTGCAAACAACGCTCTAGTTTTTCTGCCTGGGCAAAAAACGATTCAACAAATTCTAAATTAAACATGGATATATAAACGTGTGTGTACATTTAGATGTAACAGTAGCTGAATTACACCCAAGTATAATGGTTTTCTTACTATAGGAAATATCTAAATTTTTATATTTTTAATTGGATATTTTATTTACATTTCAGATGTAATCCCATTCCCCCCCCCACAGGAATCCCATATTCCATCCCCTCCCTCCTGCTTCTATGAAGATATGCCCCCACCCTCCCACTACCACCTCCCCACCCACAATTTCCTCCACACTGGAGTGTCCAGCCCTCACTGGACCAAGGACTTTCTCACCCACCTATGCCTGACAAGGCCATCCTCCATTATATATACAGCTGGAGCCATGGATCCCTCCCTATGTGCTCCCAGGCTTGTGGTTTAGACCCTGGGGGCTCTGGTTGGTTGGTATTGTTGCTCTCCCCTTGGGGCCACAAACCCTTTCAGTTCCTTCAGTCTTCTCTCACTCCTCCATTGGGAACCCCATGATCAGCTGCTAAATCTTTCTTTTTTTTTTCTTTTTTTTCTTTTTTTTTTTAATTTCTTTTTTTTTTTTGAGCATGAAATGCTTTTTTATAGCATGTTTTACAAGGGGAGGGGTAAGAGGGGCCAGGTGGTGGAAAAGTACAAAATCTTCTTGGCCTGTGCCTTGAAACATGTCATGGTCTATATGGTACACTGCCTTGAATTATGATCTACCTGCAGTTCTTCAGAAGATATGGTAAATCTTTCTAAAATGACCACTTCTTATATGAATTTGTATGTGCTGTCTACCAGGTGCTATCCCTTTGGGTTTGGGTATGATTGACTCAGGCTCTACTTTGCATGCAGATTACTGACAATTTGTAAACACAAACCTATCCTGAGGATGGAGTGGTGAACAAGCCAGCTGGCTCATGGGAACACACATTTCCTTCTCACTATTCAAATATACTAAGGAAGACAAACTACTAAATTTGGCTACTTCTAAGCACTTCATAAGTCTCTATAGAAGTTACTGGACATTTTAAATGTGGATAAAATTCTCTGGACTAGCCACATTCAATACTGAGCAGTTTGTTTAAAAAGGGAAACACTGTTATATTCCTATTAACCCATGCTCACAAAGAAAAGTTTCTGATGGGCTTCTAAAGTGGCATGTCCTAATACTCAGTTCATAAATTCCCACTGACACACGCTTTTACTACTGTTGGATAACCTTGGGAGGCTGAGGAGACAGAAAGCTCAGTAGTTAGCTGCTCTTTTAGAGGACCAAAACTTTCTTCTCATTTATGTTGGATGGCTCAAACCCACAGTCACAGTTTCAGGTGAGTACAGGCCATCTTCTGAGCTCTAGAGCACCTGGATGTGCAAGCATGGAGAGCTGAGGTGGAGCCCAAGTACTCAAAAGATAGGTACCCATAACAGTGCTGGGGTGGTAGAGGCAGAAGGAAAGCTGGGGCTCCCCTGATATCCATTCTGGTCAAAATAACCTTGAGCTCAGTGAGAGACTTTCTCAAAAAGGGATAAAGGAAGATGCTGGCTACCACGAGCATGTGTGAATGGACACACAAATGCATGACACACACATCAAGGGATGCAAACTTTAGTAGGTAGGTAGGAATGGCTGTGCACCAGACCTGATTAAGAAAAATCTTGCAAAAAAAAAAAAAAAGCCAGGCAGTGGTGGCACATGCCATTAATCCCAGCACTTGGGAGGCAGAGGCAGGTGGATTTCTGAGTTCGAGGCTAGCCTGGTCTACAGAGTGAGTTCCAGGACAGCCAGGGCTACAGAGAAACCCTGTCTCAAAAAGCCAAAAAATAAAAAAAGAAAAAAAAACTTGCTTATTCACATTACTTATCTTTATTTAATATTATAACTGAAGATAAACATTTTCCTTTTAGATGAATATATCAAATTTAAAAACTATGTGTGGATTTTAATAGTTCAGATTCAATAGTTATGGAGAGAAAATGTTATACAAGTGCCAAATACATTGAGGTTTTCGGCAAATGTTTACACACTCTTAATTAAATCCTACCATCTTCAAAGTATTGTCTTCCAAAGAATCTGTATTAAGAGATAAAGTTTATTTGAAATGAGAAATCAATGCTGATTTATTTGAACTGAATATGTATCCTAAAATCAACCTGTTTTAGTTGCTTGAATATATTCACGACACTAATTTAAATCTTGAGATTAGGAATTGTATAAGCATGACTTCCGTAATTCAAACTTGAAAGGGAATCCTAATTAGTTCTCTGGTGTCCCTTTCTGATGCCCAGGGCAATGAATTATGGCCACTTTAAGCAGAAGCCATAATGTCTCCAATAAAGTATTCCTTCCTTTAAAAAAATATTTATATATTGCATATAAATATATATAATGTTTTTATAATTTATGTATGTATTGGTAGCTTACTTGCATGTGTGTGAGTGTCAGATCTCCTGGAATTGGAGTTACAAGACAGATGTGAGGTGTTCTAAGTATAGGCACATTTTTGACCAAATAGAATGCTAAGTGGAGCCTCATTGTTATACATACCAGTGTGAAATTACACTGAGAAATCAGAATCTCATAAATATCAAGGGTCTATTGCCCATATTACAGACTTTTCTTTACACAGACCTCACACTTTAGTCCAGGCTAGCCCATTCAACTTAATTTACTTTAGCCATTTTTGGTCTATGTGCTGGCTAGTTGTGTCACCTTGACACAACCTAGAGTTATACCAGAAAGGGCAACTTCCATTTTAAAAATGCCACCCTGTATGTAGGCAAGCCTGTGGTACATATTCTTGATTGATGATTAATATAGGAGGACCCAGGTCACTGTGGGCAGTGTCACCCCTGGGCTGGTGGTCCAGGGTACTATAAATGGCTCAATCAAGCAATAGAGAACAAGACAGTAGTAAACAGCACCCATTTGTTGTTTCTGAAATAGTTCTGTGTTTCTGCTCTGACCTCCCTGTATGAACTACAAGGTTTAAGGCAAATAAGCCCTTTTCTCCCCAAGTTGATTTTTGTCATGGTATATAGAAACCCTAGCTGACTATCCACATGTACGGGTAATTTGTGCTGCTACACAGATGATAAAATTATAAAATACTTTGTATTTAGCGTTTAGCCAGGTTCATCTGACATGAAATTCCTTCTTGAGTATGACAGGTCATTATGTTCATTAATTCTGTATAAAAAAAATAGGTCATAGATTAGGAAACAAACCAACCTCTGTATTTTTTGAATGTAGGTTAAATTTCATTGGGTCCTTGCTTTTGCCAAACTTACATCCATTCATGAACATGCTCCAAGAACAACCAAAAGAAAAGGAGGCACCAGCGGTTTCTGGATTCTCACCCTGACACATACAGTTTCTACTGAGAGAACAAAGGACATTAGAAATAGTCTGACAATATTCATCATGTGGTACTGAGCCATTTGCATGTCTTAGAGGTAGGAATGAATTCTTTTAAAAATGTTGACTGAGCACCTAGAATTCATGAAACTGTGTAATGTGTCAAAAGTATTTTTCATGCATTGCTTGGCCAGCCCAATTTTCTCATTCATCTTCATTGTGTTCTAAACTGTTTATTATTGTAATGATCAGTTAAAATATACTTGGTACATTAAGTGATATCTGATAAGAAAAACTAACAAATGTTCTACAAATTACCCTGACACCTAACCAATAAACCAAACTGTTTGTTGACCTAGTTTCCTGATAAAGATAGATGAACAAATTCTTGCAAATCTTATTTAAGGACACATTAAGATCATACATTCTGGTAGAGTTGGTTTCATTCCAAGTATGCCAACATGGTTCAACCCACAAATCAATGTAATAACAGAGATCAAATAATTTTCTCAAAACAGACATGAACATTCATTCTTTCACAAGAAGTGCTAAACTAGGAAATAACCTGTCAACAAAAGGTGATGAAGCCAGTCAACATATTAAATGGTGACCAGTTCCTTGGACGTCTAGATTTATTATCACTGCCCCTTTTAAATTCAATGCTCAAAGTCTTTTCAGTAAACTCCAGAGTACAAAAATTTACATGCAAAAGAAATCAGTAGATTTTTTCAAATAGCATGTTCAAGTTTACTCCCCAGCACCCACATTAGGTAGCTTATAATTGCCTATAGATTCAGTCTCAGGGGTGTCCAACACTTGTAGCCTGTGGGCACTAGCATGAACAAACCCAGAGATAATCACAAAAAATTAAAATTCACAACAATGAACTTCCCTCAACTTAGCAAGAACATTCCTACACTATTTCCAATATTTTCAAATAAAGTAAAACACAGAGATAAAAGATCTCCATAATGAAAAGTTCCAAGACAATCAAGCAAGAGACATATCTATAGATTCAAAGCAAATATCCAATTACATTCTTTACACCCCTAGAAAAAGGGATGTCTCTCAAAAGAAATACTAAACAGAAGAGAGCAAGACTATCATAACTAATTTCAAATTATACTACAGAGCCATAGTAACAAACCAGAATGATACTTACACTAAAACAGACATTTAGACAAAGTGGAGCAGAATAGAGGATCTAGGAATAAACAGCAAGCTGACTTTTGATGAAGATATCAAACTACAAATTTGAGAAATAATGCCTGAATAATCCACATGCAGTAGATCCGTATCCCCTCATACAAAATTCTTTTCAATATGGATACAAGTAGGAAGCAGAGAAGGACAAATCCTGTAGTTTTAGTCTCCAGCCAGCAGAGGTGCTACCCACAATACAGTGAGTGGGTCGACCTACCTCAACTAACTCTAGCTATATATATGCCTCAGAAATGGGTCTAAGGTTCTTATCGATCCTGCCAAGTTGAGAAGCATGAAGTAGTAGTAATGACAGTGAGATTATATGGCACTAGAAATCTAGTGGGGGGTCTTTAGTAAATACATTTATAGGGATCAAATGTAAGATATTTAAAGAACTACAGAAACTCAATTCAAAGACCAAATTATCCAGTCTATAAATAGGCTAGTGAACTGAAGGGACGGGGGAAAAAATGACCAACAATTATTTGAAAGTATTAAGCACACATTAGTAATAAATATCACTCAAGTCAAAATGACTCAAGGAAACAGAGAGAGTGGGGAGAGAGGAGCCTTTATACATATATACTACAGGCCAGAGTGTGAACTTGTGCCACTACTGTAGATGTCAGTGTGGAAGCTCCTCAAAAGAAATCTAGAAAGAATTGTCACACTATGGCTATCCCACACTTGGTACAGTTTAAGACTGTGGCTTAGTTTATTAACACAGTCATCTTTAGTTCCATTCATTTTCCTGAATATAATTTCACTTTACTCTGATTCAAAATTTATTTTGTCGATGTATCCTGTTTTCCTTTATCCTTCTATTAGTTGGTGGACATGTTAGTTGTGTTTCCTGGCTTTTAGGAGCCATGTAACAAGCGTGGTTGTGCTTCTAAGTTATTTTCCTAAGCTCATTTAGCATTTTAGAAAAATTGAAGCCTACCTTGAAACTCTATTGAAAGAAAGAACAATGAATTCCTCAGCAAAGTGTTCCCAATGTACCTTCACTTTTGAATGTACATACACACACCTTTACCAGAATGAAGGAAATAATTTGAAAATCTGAAAGTATTTACATCTAAAGCAGGTCATCAGAAGTTTACAAGTCATGAGTTAGGAAGTGGATGAAACATTAGAATAATCAGTAAAAAGTGAACTGAAGCCAGTTTAGAATAGATCATGAGATTTTTTTTTGATCAAATTTGTTAAAAGCAAATCAGTTTCAATGGGCAGTATGGATACCTGTATATATTATAACTGAGACTGAAAAACTCAGGAACAAATCTGATTAGCAATGAGATTTGGCAAACATGGCAGTGACTCTTTATGATCCCAGAAAATGATTCTGTGTGGTTAAAAACTTAGATTTTAAAAGTACAAACTTTGAATTATTTTTTAGACAAACTGTGAGAAAATGTATCAGGAGAACCTTTGTGTGCTAGCATCATGCAGAAGAAACTCACAGGAGAGGGATAAAACCAACCTGAATGATGGATTTGTATTTCGCCTCCTGCAAAAGTGGACAAAGTTAACCCAACAAACAGTAACAGAAACTGTATTAACTAGCAATAATGGAGCAGTAGTGAAAGGGGAAGCAAGTTTTGAGCTACAGAAATAATGAATCAGAGTAAATGGAAGAATAATTTCAATTTTTATAAAACTATGAATATTGAAATAGCAGATTAAAAGTCAATGACCTAAATACCGAAATGGTATCTTACTAAAATGGTAGCCACATTAACAAGGAGTGCCCAACACAGCATAAGAACTAGAATAGAAATGATAAAACCAAAGCTATTAGTTGGGTGCAGACACCTAGGTTTTACTGGAAATGACTCTCTACGGAGCATAAGCATTCAACACCCTTTGAAGTAACCATGTGCTCCCCACTTTATCAATATACAAATTCAGGTCCCTCTGGAGAATAGGAAGGGCCTAAAACCCACTTACATTTCATTTATAGCACAGCGACGACTCATGTGTTCCTCACATATGCCCAGGATGTCTGTAAGCTCTGAGTAGAGTCTGGAGGCCTCAGGTACTGGGATTCCATTCCATAACATGATGACAACAATAATCACTGCAGTCTCACAAGTGTGATGAGGTCGCTCTCGTACCAAACACAGTATCTTCTCCTTCTCACTCGATTTCCGATATATCTGTGTAGGTCAACAATCCACCCAAATAGCCCCACCCCACCCAAAACAGAACAAGGGTCAATTGGAGTCAATACTTGTATATGCATACTTGTCTGGATCAAAATGATCACCACCTGCAATTTTATTGCCCAGCTATACAGTGGGAACCTAACCAACTGTTCAGAAAAAAGAAAAAATTACTCCTCAATGGTTAGCAGACCATGCCTGGTACAGTGGGCAGTTAAGTGTAACCTCCTGTAGTAAGAACTACATGTAAGACATGCTGAAGGCTTTCTTTAAGTGGTACTATAAATATTAACCTGATGCTCAATCTAGTCTCAACCTTCCTATAGTTGTGCCTCTTTTAACACAGTTCATGTTGTGGTGACTCCCAATAATAAACTTATTTTCATTGTTACTTTATAACTGTAACTTTGCTGTTATGAATCGTAATGTAAATATCTATGCTTTCCAATCATCTCAGGTGACCCCTGTGAAAAAGTCATTCATTCATTTAACCTAAGGGATCACAACCCAGTTGAGAACCATTGCTTTTGACCTCTAAATTATTTCAATTTAATCGGCTGTTCATGATTTCAGAACCACTCTGCTTTTAGAATTCAAGGATACACATAAAATATGCTCCTTCCATCTGGCAATGTTCTTTGGTAAGAGTTGGGCAAGTCAATTGTTGAGGTTAGGTAAACGAATAGAAGCAAGATCACTGACAAGGTAGACTTACCCATTTTGCAATAGGACATCCCCGAGAGCTCTTGCCTTCTTTACCAGTATATATGATTTTTTCAATCCTAATAGCTTCACCCTTCTCTCCACACCTTAAAGAAACACACACTATTAGATGATATTTATGGTTTATTTCTGTAACCATATCTTAAAAAAAGTTGTTTTTAAATTGGTCTAAGCCAAGCATAATGCACAATAGTCTTAAGTCTTTTCTTCGGCATCAAAATACACCAGAAATTATAATAGATTATTCTGCAATTATATGCTGGGTGAAAAGTATTGGGAAAGATATTTCTATATACAAAGTATGAGTTTGCTAAACTCACTTCTTAAAAAGACATGTGGCCAAGTTAGTATCCAGCTATCTAAGTTAGAACAGATTGTATTCCCGGTTGGAAGTGCTATGCACTGTTAACAAAAGAAAATTGGGTAGCTCTGGCAGGTTACTGTGGCCGGGGGTGGGCTACATGGTGAATTTCTACATAACTTAGAAGCACATGATTTGAAAATAAGGCCAAGAGTATTGTGTACTGCCCATACATATGCAAATACATTTTAAAAACTGCTACTTCTTAACAGCAGACCCTTTACCTCAGAGCTCTATCTGTAGGGAAGGCCATCAATACCTTGGACTGACAGTTTAAGGTTTTTATAAGTAAATGGAGTCTTAGTCAACCTTTTACACACACTTGCTTTCTTTTATAAAAGAAACAACTCACTGCAACGCTAAAACCTTAACTCAGGGGTCCTTTCTCAGACTGCTTTCCCTCATTTCTTTGACACACTAATAGGAAACACACACACACAGAAGAAAGCCAAGGGAGGCCACTCTTTGTAACCTGTGCCAGTACTCTCATGCAGGTTGGATTTGTTTGTGCCTGGGCTTTCTAGCATCCATCTCCAAGAGGGCAGCCTGTGCCAGCTAAGTGACTATTTGTCCTGTCAAATATGGTGACTAGTGAATAGCAGTGTGTTGGGTTGGCAACAGCTAAGCCTACTGACTTACACTTGTTTACTGCATTGTGTGGGGGGAACTGGAAAAACTGCTGTATACAGAGGGTAACCATTAATCTGCCCTGTGCCTTTGAGTTAATTACCTTTCTTCCAAGATTGTTCTAATAGCTGCAACATTAGGACCAGCTCCTAGATGGGTATAATAAGGAGCTTCATCTTTGTCTGTTGAGATAATAGAAGATTATTTTAGACCTCAATTATACTAAATATTAAGGCTACATCCACAAAGACTATCCTCAAGCTGTACATTAATGGCCGTAAGTAACTTTAATTTTTTTCGTTAAATTAGAGTACATTGGTGGCTTGATCTATTAGAACATGTGCCAAGCCAAGTAATACAAACACAAAAACTATCAGAAAATTATCACTACATTTCAGATACAACATAAGAAATTTTAAGATATATTCCAAACAATAAAGGAGTTAAAATTATATGTAATAAACTACAATGAAGTTTTTTTAAGCAGGAAAAAAAAATCTAATATGAATCATGCTTGCCATTTGAAAGTCTCTTCCTAGAAAGTTTCGCCTTGCGGGGTCCAGTTTTTCTGCTGCTTTTCCTCCATACCATTTGGTTGGATCTATTTTGACTGCATTTGCACTTTATGAGCTAACTTACATAGGGATCCTAGAGTCCATTAAAAGGGTTAGTTGTAGGAGTAAAGGTGGGAACTTAGTGCTCCACTTAATAGCCCCCCATAGGGCAGAAGACCAGCCTACCAAGTGTGTCAGTGAGTACATGGGATGGTAATAGTAATATGGTGTTCCTCTAATGCCTTCAACTACACCTGTGGGGACCAGATACTGTTGCTATCTTTCAGCCCCACACCTGTCACAAAACAAGGCATTTAGAAATACTATTTTAATAAAAAAAAAAAATAGAAAGCAATACGAAAAAGGAACCCAAAAATGTTCAATGGATAAGGAGTTACTTTCTGAGTAACTTCATCAGAACCTTCTAACTATAAAATTTGTACTAAGAACCTTGTAACTAAATCTTGTAATAACAATTTTCAAATTCAAGATTAAAAATAGTAACTTCCTCAATATCCGGAAATCTAATTATTTAACCAAACTTTAAACATGGTTCATGACACTGCTTTGTTAAGGAAGTAATTGCTTTTCATGTTAACAGATTTTTCCTGCCTGTATGCCTCCTCTGACAGAAGAATTAAATAGATTCAGGCTGGGTATGGTGATGCACTCCCAGCAGTTGGGAAGCAGGGGCAGCCCAACCTGACCTACTCAGTGAGTTCCAACAACAAACAAGGGCTAGACCCTGTCTTCAAAACAGCTTCCAAACATCAATTCCCAGTATCTCCATGGTGGCTCACAGCAGTATTCCCACCACGGGACCCAATACCCTCTTCTGATGCGGACAAAAATCCATATATACACACACACACATATGAAATTGTGTGTGTATATATGAAAAATGATTTACTACTTAAATTTTAAGATCTGATTTCAGAGGAGATGAACACAAGCATCAGCAGTGTTTTGGGGGCAGGGCATGTAAGTGAAAAGTTTTTTTTGCATTACAAGTATCTGTAATTTAAAGACAAAACAAAACAAAAAAACTTGACCCTTTACAAATGGCTCCCAGTATAATTTGAACTTAGGGATGGGGATTTCCCCAGAAATTCTTTTATTGTTAAGAATTGTTTTTCACTGTCCTGGTTTTTGTTTTGTTTTTCCATATCAAATTGAGAATTCCTCTTTCCATGTCACTGAAGAATTGTGTTGGGGATTGCAATGAATCTGTAGGCTAAAGGTTTTATTTTTTAAAAAGGCTCCCAGACTCCAGCTTAAGAAAGAAGCCCCATATATGAAGATAATTAGCTAATTCTGGCAAACACCATGTGCTTCAGTATGTTACTTACACTGACTTGGATTTCTGCATGCTTTGCAGCTGATATTCTTGTCAGGTGTATCTGATTGGGAAGGTGATTCTGAAACATTGTTGAGAACAGAAGCAGCTGTTCTTTTGGTCTTTTCTGAACGAGTTGCTTGTGGCTCTGCAGCTGGGGTGTGGTTCTCAGATTCTGCAACATGGCTATTTGTAGCTGCTTCCACTGTCACATGTTTCTGTGACTTAAGAGTCAGGACCTTATAGTCACAGAGTGACTTGGGCTGAAATTTCTTCAGATGATGCTCTAAGACCTCAATGATGCTCTTTGGTTTCCCGTTATCACAGCTTATTGAGGGGACGTCTTGCTTTACCCTTTTGGACATATTTTCTTGTGTTGCTGACATGAGGCGTTTACAGGAAGAGGGTTTGGATCCAGGCTCAATCTTGACTGGCCTATGCATCTGATTATGACAAGACTCAGACTGGGATTGCTGTACTTGCTGTTCTTGCTTCTGTAAGAGAAGCCACCTTAGGGCAGCATGCTTCTGAGTGTCCTTCTGATGAGGGGTCTGTGTCTTACTTCCTCCTGGCTCAGGCACAGGGAGTGCCTTTGCTTGATTATGCAAATACCTCTGAGGAGCTGCTTCAGCTAGAGGTTCTGAAGACTCATCCTGGTTTCTGCCTTTAAGGCCCTGTAGAGATGAAGTTTGTTGAGGTTTCTGCTCTTGTTCTTGAAAGCACCTGTGATAAGCGTCCTGATTTGGGGTCACATTATCTGAAAAACACTGCAGGTTTGTGGCCTTATTTCCTAGTTCAGTAGGTAGAGTTTGTTCTCTACTCTCAGAAGCTGGGTGTGTATCATTTGAACAGAGAATTTGTAATTTGACTGAACTTGCTCTTACAATTATATAAGGATTACTATTTACCTCCTGTACTTGCTCCAACCCCCCCTGGGTATTGTGAGTTTGGAAATTACTTGATTCTGAATACCGATTTTCGCCACAAAAGCTTTCTTCCACTTTAATCTGGCCAAAGCATGAACCTTCTCTTTGCTTATCACTGGCACCTTGGAGATGAGAGGAAGTCTGAGGCATTTGATCTTTATTATTCCTCTGTAATTGCTGCTGCTGCTGGCAGATTTGAGGGAAATTTGGCAGATTTGAGTTCTGGGATGCTTGTGTTTGTGCTGCCTGCTTCTGTTGTAAAAAGCTTGAAAACAGTTGAGTCTCTGTGGCCTGTTGACTCAAATGCTTATCAGTGGAGGTATTTACTCTTTGCTGGAAATGGTACTGAGGGCCACTCGGTGCCTGCCCGTGAACCTCAGGTGACAAGTGAGCCTCGAGTGACAGATTTGTCCTGGAAATACACTCCTGGTATAAAGTTTTCTGGAACTGTAGATGTTGGTCCCCCATACCTGGAGAGGGTCGTTGGTTCATTTCTGCTTGGTACATTTGTGACTTAGGCTCTTGCTGAGCTGTTTTCTGGATATAAGGTAGCCTTTGGAGTCCTCCTGGCATGTTTAAATTTCCAGTGGACTGTTTGGAGCTCACCTGATCGGCAGGGCTGGTCTGAGAGTGAAGGACTGAGTACAAGGATGTATCCTCGTATTTTTTCTGATGGAGTGCTTCAGGAAGATGAGATGCCTTCAGTTCTATCCAGCCAGGAACTGCCAGTACAGAGTCTTGCATTTGTCCCCCATTTTCATTCTCTTGAATCTCTTGCTTCCTATGTCCCGTCACATATTGGCTATGTTCTTGTAAATCTCCACTGTGGCCATGACTTGGCAGGTAATACGTGGGACATTCTGACATTGTTTTTTCAGAGCACTGAGGGACATGATCATTTTGATGCTGTTCTGTAAGCATCAAGGGGGGGTTGGGTGTACATACAGATTGATTCAGACTCTGGCTAGATGATGTCTTAGGTTGATGTTCTGTTTTCCCTTCCCTTAGGTTCCTTTGGCTGGGGTACTGACGGTGTTCATCCAAGGCTACATTCAGAGCACCTTTTCCTTCTGAAGGAAGCTGAAGAACAGGGCAGGGAGCAAGTGATTGTGATGGTGGGGTCATGGGAGTGGCAGAAATGGAATCTTTAGGGAACATTGAGCTTTGCTTGAAGTAAGCACCATTGGTTTCCTTTTGCTTTAAATACTGTTCAGAGCTGCCATGAGAAGCTGGAACATCACTGTGGGAACTAGGGTAGTATTCTTCAGCAAACAGCTTCATGTTTCCTTGCATGGTTTTGTTTTCTGCATTTGGAGATGGGCCTATCTCCAAAACTGACTTTTGTCGGTGTTCTGCTTTCTGAGAAGGACAGGTACCTAGCACTCCAGCTGGTTGACTGGCATTATCAGCATCACAGGCCTTAGTCACCATCGCAGCTGGCTCTGGAGGCAGCTGTGAGCTCGAGGTCTGTGAGAAATTGATCTGCGCTGAGGTAAGCGATGGTTGAGTGATCTCATGGGACAACTCGATAGCAGCCTGACTGCTAAGGGCGTTTACATGAGATGTGGTATTCTGCTCAGTAATGGAAACACAATCTGGATAACACTGTGTTTTTTCCAGGAGTTCACCATGTGTGTTTTCCACAGAAGGGGCAGAAACTGTAGCACCATTAGGCATTAGCACAGCCTTGTTTGTAAGTAACCTAATGTTCCTGTTGCCATTTTCCCCTTCCTGCTCCTTGGGAATCTGAAACTCTGTGTTTTCAACTCCATTGTAGTTCTGGGTTGGGAAAGCATCTACAACTGCACTTTCCTGGGCTGTGGAGGTCACATGCTTTCTGTTATCACTCAGACCGGAGACACTTGGCTGATTGCTGCTTTTACCTGGGTTTCTTTCTTGGCTTTCTCCCTTAGCTTTTTGGTCTAGTTTCAATTTCAGATGGAGCCCAGAGAGAGATGGTTCACTGACTGTGCGCTTTATCCCTCCATTTTGTTGTAAGCACCTAGAATACCCTCTGCCTTCGTGTATGAAGTCTGGACTCTCATGACTGCTCTGGCGGCCTTTCATGTGGGGTGTTCCATAATAGCTTTGGAGAGACTGCCACTTGGCGTCTCCATTTACTTCTGGATGAGGTCTCTCTGCTAACGGGCTTCCATCCTGGAGTTTGACAGCCGGAGGTTCTGTATGGCCGATGGGAGAAGGTGATGCTATCAGGAATGGACTCGGTCTGGAACCCTCAGTATGGGTAGTTCTGTCCTGTTCCATCAGGCTTGCTTCAGGGCCATCCACAAGGCTGCCCTTTGAAGGAATCCTAAAGACACAGAAACAAAAATTCAACAGCATTACAAAAACACCAATACCTAGATATATAGCAATCAGATGCTCATTTTCATCTTTTGGCAGACAGCTACTCTTGTCTTCCCAGCATGGAGAAAAGGAACAATGGAATGAATCCCGAATTTTATACCTCCCCAGTAACTAGTAGCTCTTCCAGGACAGCCAGAACTACAGAGAAACCCTACCTCGAAAAACCAAAGGAAAAAAAAAATAGATAACAAGCCAGGCAGTGGTGGCACATGCCATTAATCCCAGCACTTGGGAGGCAGAGGCAGGCAGATTTCTGAGTTCTTTTGAGCCCAGCCTGGTCTACAGAGTGAATTCCAGGATAGCCAAGGCTATACAGAGAAACCCTGCCTCGAAAAACAAACAAAAAACACCTTCACATTAGAAGGATGATATTTAAATTTGAAAGTAACAACCATGGTTTAATGAAAAGCAGATATTTAACTCTTCAGTGTTGACAATTATAAAAAACAAACAAAAAAAGGTAAGAAAATGAAATTTATATTAGTGTGGAAATGAAAAAGAATTTATTTCCTGGGTAAAGCAGCAGACCAGGAAAGCTAATGGCTGTGTCCTTGAAAGCTACTGGTTAGGTCTTGAAAACAACCTATGATTTCAGAGAATGAAAAGGAAATATTGCCTTTGTCTTTCCTATGCCCTAAACCATCCCTTTTGCATGAAGGTTATAGGACCCTGTACCTATCAACAGTCCTTTCAATTATGCAGGCTTTAGCCTTATTTCTAGTAGAGAATGAAGGTGTCATGCTATCATTAGTGGACTCAGAGGTTTGTTGTTTTTCCTTAAGCAGACATAAAGTCATAGTCGTTTAAGACAGGAAGAATCTTTGGGTTGCATGAGATAGTTACCTAATATCTTTCAAATTAATTATTAATATCTTTCAAGTAATTTCTCAAATTTAAATGACTGTAAAACAAGGATCCCTTTTCAAATAACTATAAACTTGCCGGAGCTATTTTTGCATGGTTTTCCTCAATCCACTTCCTATTACTAACAGCAGAGGGTTGGGCAGGTTAGAGAGGCTTATTTTGGCTCTTTATTCTCAAGTGGAACAGACTTCCTGCTGTTTATGTCTGGAGGTGGTGGTGCAGGCCATGATGGCAGAGACAGTAGGTGTGTGTGTGTGCACTGCTCCTTTATTTATGAAGCCCCCTTCCCTAACACCTGAGTTGAACCCACAAGCCCCTAAAAGTTGTCATTTGACCCACACTCAAGGTGAGAATCCCACCCTATGATTCCAATTTTAATCACTTCTGAATACCCTACATTTAAATACCAAGTTCCTATCAGTTCCTTACTGAGGATTAAGTTTCAGCCATTTTACAGGGGGAAAGTCACATTCTTTCCCAGTTGAAAATCAGACACAGGCATTATTTACTATCTGCTCTTAGAAGTGAATGACCAGAATACTTAATTTATGCGATTAGACAGTAATGCAATTACTGGAAATTTATAGATTTATAGATGGTACCATAATTTTATGTTTTATGTTTGTTCGCTACACGAAGAAAGTTGTCATTTGAACTAAGAAGGAATGTTATCGTCAGAATCATTGCTATGCGGTAGGGCCTCTCTGGAGCCCATGCTAGCTTGAAAACACACACACACACACACACACACACACACACACACACACACACACAGGTCCCTTGGGAACCCTGAAAAGTCTGTCTAGTTAAGCTTCCTATGGATGCGTCAGATCTTACATAGTAACAGCTATACTTAAAAAAACTGATTTTAAACATATACTTAAGGCTCATGGCTAATGAAGTCCCTCATAAATGTTAGGAACTAATACCTAGGGCTACTGAAAAATTATCAAATTAATCTGTTAGTTTGGAAATCAAATGCAAACTCCCTGAGGCCCGCATATATTTTGGTAGCCATTCTGGCCATAAGAATTGTGCTGATAAGGAGCTCAGAATCACATAATGACATTTTTAAAGACTGTAAGAGCTTTAAAATGGCTTTCAAATGAGATGCCATGTGACCATAATCATATGAAGATATATGAAGCATGTCAGAGAAGCAGGAAGGACCTCATTTTTCTCCCATTGTACATATGTGAATACTGAGAAACTGGCTCTGGCTGGGGACATGTAGCTCTCTGAAGCTCTTCCCACCACAGAACAAAGAAAACATGATTTAGGGAGATTTTTACCTTAAATTCATATTTTGCCCTTATTTGAGCCTATCTGTAGACTTCTTACCAATACTCTGAAAAGCAGTTTGCTACATGTCTATGGACCTTTAGTTATTAACAGGATTAAGGGCATTTATCTTTAACCAGGGCCTAACTTCCTCATGTGGCTTGAAATATAGCACTTAAGAATATCAGTATTAGCCAAAAAGCTCAGAATACCCATGATACAACTTACAAACCATATGAAACCCAAGAAAGAAGATCACACCAAAGTGTGGATGCTACAGTCCTATTCAGGAAGGGGAAGAGAATAATCTCTGGGAAATAGAGGGAGAGAGGAGGGGGAGGAAAAGGGGGGCAGTTCAGATATGGGAGATGGGGGAGAAACAGGGAATTTGAAAGTAGGTGTGTAGCAGTGTAGCAGTGAGGGAGGGGGAACTGGGGGTAGCCACTAGAAGTCTCAGATGCCAGGGACCAAAGAGGTTCCCAAGACCAACAAGGGAAGAAGACATTAGCTGGAATATCCACATCCAGTGGATAGGCATAGCCCTGGCTAAGGGATGAGGGACCCACCCACCTCAAAAATATTAATCCAGAACTACTCCTGCCAAAAGGAAACTCAGGGACAAAGAGTGGAACAGAGACTAAAAGGCCATCTAGAGACAGACTGCTCCAACTGGGGATCCATTCCACATGCAGACATCAAACTCAAGAAGTGCTTACTGATAGGAGCTTGGTATAGCTGTCCCCCTGAGAGGCTTTGCCAGAGCCTGACCAATACAGATGTGGATGTACACCGCCAAACATTGAACTGAGCTGGGAGAACCCAATGGAAAGTGAGGGCAAGGACTGTAGGAGCTGAAGGGGTTTGCAATCCTATGGGAAGATCAAATAACTAGACCCCTCCAAAGATCCTAGGGACTAAACCACCAATCAAAGGGTATACAACATGGGGGGACCCATGGATCCAACCGAACATAGGAGAGGATGTAGCGCGCATCAGCGGGAGGGGAGCCCCTTGGTTATGTGAAGGCTAGATGACCCAGGGTAGGGGAATGCTAGGGCACTGAGGCAGGAGTGGGTGGGCAGGTGGGGGAGTATCCTCATAGAGGCAGGGAGAGGAGGGAGGGATAAGGGACTTGTGTTGGGGAAACTGGAAAGGAGGATAACATTTGAATGTAAATAACCAATAAAAATGAAAAAAATTTAAAAAGCATATGAAATGAAGTTCCTGTAGAGGTATTCTGACAGTTTGTTGAACTTAAGATCCCCCTGCCTCACTGTGATTGCAAGCATTACAAGTGTGAACTCACAGGCTGGAGAGATGGCTTAGCAGTTAAGAGCACTGGCTGTTCTTCCAGGATGGGGAGTTTAATTCCTAGCACCCACATGGCCGGTACTGTTTCTAGTCCAGTTCCAGACATACATGTAGGTCAAACACCAATGTATTTTAAAAAATATATATAGGTTCACTTAAATGACAGCTGAGAGCTGACATAACTTAGAACCCATTATCAATATTTTTATATGTACCTGTAGCACAACGCCTGGTTGTCTGAGGAACCAAAAGTAGTGGTTATGTCAACTATACATATACTCCTTTTGCTGTCGGAAAGTTTAAGGGTAAAAAAATAAGAAATGTGCCACCATTCCATGGTATCAGCTACTGGCACAGACTAACCATTGCTGACTGTGTCAGAGATTTACAAAGCATTGTTTATCCCTTTAATCCTGGCACTCAAGAAGCAGAGGCAGGTGGGTCTCCGAGTTGAGTGAGGTCAATCTTGTCTACATTAATGAGTTCCAGGATAGCCAGGGCTATGCATAGAAACCTTGTCTCAAAAGACAAAAGTATCTTCATTGAAAATACATCTCTTGATTGACAGCTAGCATTTAACAAGGCAGGTTTCAGCGTCACAGCTCTCCTCTGAGTTTAATTTTGTGCTTTCTCCTGCCTGTGACAATAATTATAAATTCAAGTCACATCAACAGCATCTGTGAGACAATTACTGCACGGAGGGCTGAGTCTGCAGTCTAATCCATCATAATTATGACAGTCCTCTTTCAAGACACTATGATGCATGACTTAAAAATAGCACATTAGCGTGCAAATGGATCAGCATCTCATTTCACCAATGTGCATTTAGCGCTGTAATGTAGCCCAGCACCATTTGACTTTCTCTGAATCACTCAGATGATAGCCATAGCTTTCACCATAGAAAACTGCAGATGATGCTCAAAATGTGGAGGGCTTTTTGTTTTCGTTTTTTGGCTTACTGGTTTTGTACACTGGTATGTCTTTTCCAGCTAAATAAAAATACACTTATACAAGAAGTACAATAAGGCAGAAGTTTTTCCTATAAATACTCCTTTCACTATACACCAATAACACACACACACACACACAGTGAATCATGTTTGTGTGTGAATTTATCCAGCTTAATGGAGGCAAATACCTATAGCTGCTTATAGGTAGGAAATGTATCTACCAAAGTCCATGTCCCAGTATCAACTTTAGGGGATCACTGTTTGTCACTGTTACTTCCACTGACAAGCTTTACTCTTTTTGGTAAACTCATTGTTAGGAGTTATCTTATGCACCTGAGATTCTCTCTATCTTTTGGGGTTGTCTCCCTTTGTGATTTCTCTATTGTTTCTTTCTATTTCTTCCGTTTTTAGATCCTGGATGGGTTTTGTTCAATTCCTTCACTTGTTGGTTATATTTTCTTGTAATTCTTTAAGGGTTTGTGTGTGTGTGTGTGTGTGTGTGTGTGTTTCCTCTTTGAGGTCTTCTACCTGTTTACCT